CCAGCTGAAGTTCTAACCCTAAACCTAGACCCCTAAGCCTAACCCCAAAGTCCCAAAGCACAGTCGCCCAGAGCCCCACATTCCTAAGCTCTAAACACCCAAGCCCAGTAATCCGCAAAGCCATACACCAACCTTGAACACCCACACCCCCAATTCCTAAAACTTGTGAAAATTGTTTGGAGACCGGCCATATCCTAGGAGTTTAGCGTTTTGAAGGCTTAGGATTAATTAGTTTCAGGGTCCGTTGTTTCAGGCTCGGCAATCTGTTCAGAGCTTTTGGCTTCTGAGGGTTTGGGGTTATCGGGTGCATGTGGGTCCTACATATTACATATGCCTTATGCAGTGCGATATGAGGACGTATAGATCATTACCTAGACCCCCTCCTGACTAGCCCCTGAATGCCGCTTAGTGAGGAATAAATATATGACACAGAGGGTCCATATACACTACATGGTCCCAAAAGGCCATCCGCGTTCTGGCCCTTACTCCATAATGGTAGTATATCTGGACCCTCTTGGTGAGAGAGCGTTAGGAACGAAGAGGGGCACAAGTGTCAGTGGCAGGATGCGACCTTAAGCCTAAGCGGGTGCGTGGGGGATTAGACTAGAGGGACGACGAATACGAAGAGCCAGGGGAACCACAGGAGTCGCAGCGCAGGATCAAAACAAGCCAGCATCCACTGACCTTACCGTCACCCCCACCAAGACCACCAAGAGCATTGCCGAGATCACCACGAAGACCACCTGGACCACCAAGACCACCGAGACCACCACCGCCAGCAGCAGCAGCAGCAGCAGCAGCAGCAGCACAGCAGCAGCAGCGGCAGCAGCACACCACCACCACCACCACCACCACCACCACCACCACCACCACCAGACATCTTGATGAACCCCCGCGGAGCAATCTAGTAAGAAATGCTTTTCGTTTGCAGACGAGGCTTTTTTCGGATGCCGTGCATGCCGACGAAGCCACCAAGGCGTGGCAGGGCACATCTTACACTGGATCCGTGGTTCCTTTTGGGGTATACTTACAAGTCAGAGTTGTTCCTGTTGTTGGGAACTACTTTCTCTTCGTATGCGGGTACTTAGGACCGTCTGGGTTGTCTTCATGCATCTACAGTCACAGGCTGAAAAGTCAATCAGCATGCATCCAGATGCCACTTGACCAAGCCGAAGGCTCGACTCTAGCGCTCGACTGTGCCTGACCGCCCCTCTCCCTCCCCACGTGTGCATCATGCAGGGCCGCAACTTTACGCGCACAGCGCTGACGTGCTGTGTGGCAACCCTCACCTTGGTGACCTTTGTGGTGGGTGCTTCGACCGGGAAGCACCTCGAGAATGCAAGCTGCACTTCCGACGACCAGGCGCTCTTGCAAGCAAAAGCGCTTGTAAAGGGAGGAGTTGCTACGTGCCCTGCGGATCCCAGTGCTGACACAGAGCCTCCTGAGATCATCCTAGGCGATGTTGGAGTCGGAGCTCGGCCAGCCCCTGGAGAATGCACAGCCGTTCGGACTTATGATGTAATCGAGGTACGCGACAACTGTCCAGGCGATGTCACATGGTCCTGCGTGCCACCATCTGGCTCTTCGTTCCCTATCGGTGACACCACAGTTACCTGCACGGCGACCGATGTTGCTGGTAACACTGGATCAGCATCCCTTCGTGTTTGGGTGCAGGACCTGAATCCGGTGCCTCCAGTCTTCGATGTGGTGCCGAATGACGTGTCCGTGAGCACAGACCAAGGACAGTGCGGAGCCGTTGTGAATTTCACTGTGCCCACCGCAACAGACGACTGTCCAGGAGTGCAGGTATCCTGTTCGCCAGAATCGGGCTCAACGTTTTCGGTCGGTACCACCACGGTGACGTGCACCGCCACCGATGCTGGTGGGAGCACTGCCTCGGCAGAATTTGACGTTAACGTCCGTGACCTCTGGGCTCCCAACATCACGCTGGGCGATGTTATGAGGGAAACAGCCACATCCCCTGGACTTTGCGAAGGCATTGTGCTGTCCAGGCGATGTCACATTGTCCTGCGTGCCAGCGAATGGCTCTTTGGTCCCAGTCGGTGACAACAGAGTTGACTGCACGGCGACCGATGTTGCTGGACTGGCTCAATCGGGGACAGGCTTCTGGGTTACAGTGAGGGACCACGAGAATCCAGTCTTCGATCCGGTCCCGGATGATGTGACAGTGACAAACGACCCAGGACAGTGCGGAGCCGCTGTGGATTATGTGGCCAATGCAGCCGACAACTGTCCAGGAGTTCAGGTAGTTTGTTCGCAAGAATCCGGCACCACGTTCTCGGTCGGTACCACCTCAGTGACATGCAACGCCACGGATGCTTCTGGCAACAAGGCCTCGTCGGAATCTTTCGTCGTTCCTCGGCCGTTCTCGACAATCATTTCCAATGTACCAGTGGCTGTAGCAGTGTAGCATCTGTTTCATGCATGCATGCAAGGACTATATGTAGGTATCCATGTATGTAAGCAGCCATGTGAGCAGGACTTTTCTGTTAAAGCTATTCTCAAACCGTAACTCTAAACCTTGGGTTCTAAACCCCAAACCCTGACCCTAAACCCTGGACTCTAAACCCTAAACCCTAAGCCCAAAACCTTCGAAAAGAGCCCAGGTCCAGGTCAATGACCTCGAGGATCCAAGTATCGGCACGCTTCCCAACATCGACGTGCCTGGGTTCTTGCAAAGGAATGGGTTTGGGGTTTTTAGAAGGGTTCCTTTACGGGGGTCTTGTATGGTTTCTGTAAGGGTTCGTTAAGAGTTTAGAGTATCAGGGTCCATGCAAAGGAAAGGAGCTCTTTTAAAGGGTACCATAGAGTTGTATGATAGGGGCCCCGTTTCTAGGTTTCTGTAGGGGTTGAAAATAGGGTCCCTTTAAGGGGTTCCTTAAGGGTTCTGTTTCAGCTACCATAGACTTCGGCCCTTTTTAAGGAGGGTTTAAAGTCAAGTGCTATAGGGGCCTTAATAACTGGAATAGGGTTCCTTTAAAGGGGTCGATAAGGGTACTATAAGAGTTCTATAATATGTGGGGCCTTAGTAGTTAGAATAGGGTTTTGGGGCGCATAAGGAACCCCCAAAATAGAATTGGTAATTATTTAAGCCCCGAAAGGATCTAAGTTTCATTTACCGTAGCGAGGACAACCCTGCTGTTTACTTTAGATCCCCATTATGGCGTAATCCTGTATTCATCTCTACTGCCACATTTGAGGGCTCTTGCTCCTGCTCCTGCTGCGTCTCTTTCTTTCGCTCCTGCGCTGGCTCTTGCTGTTGCACCTGGTCTTCCTCCTGCTTTTGCTCTTACTCTTGCTTGTGCTATTACTCCAGCTCTTGCTCTCTCGGTCCTGCTCTTGCTCCGGACCCCCCTATGCAAATTAGGTTTTAAAAGGCAGGAGTGATTTCGGGAGGATCCGCGCCAATGTGTTTTTACTATGAAGGGGGTGAATGCCATAATGCCCTTAGTGCGAACGGACTGCGATGCCTTGTCAAGTTCTAAGGTGTCACTATATGAGCTGTGAGCAAGACCGTGTAAAGTGCAAGGGAAGGGGGCACGCCACGCGTCCCTCGTCTCTAGGAGTAGGCTTGTGGTAGTGCTACGCACACCGCAATGCCTATCCATCCTTTCAGTATGACCGCCCATGCAACGTTTGGCTCAAGAATGAGCACAAGCTCTAGAAAGCATTGCCCATAGCTAAAGTGCTATAATCTTTGTGATCCTCCGAGTAGACAGAGCTATCCCGTGCACAGACGATCCACCGCCGGCCGTGAGTGTGCAAAACGAGCGAACGTTGGATCTGCCTGCATAGGAGTGCGTGTGTGGAAGTGGAAGTAACGGTGATCCAGCTTGTAGAAGGCAACCACGCCAACAGTCAATACAGCTCTTTGTGGGGTGAGCGATACAGAACATTACCAGGATCAAATCCCCACGCAGGTTATCAGCCGTACGCGGCTCTGCCTTTCTGCAGCAAAGACTACTTGATCTACTACGACCACAATGAACTCGGGATCAAGCCAAGATACGACAATGACTTTCGGTGCCGATGTGGCAGCGCCAGCCGTTGGTGAGTCAACAGCTGATGACACAGTGGTGCAATCCGTTGATAGCTCCACAGAAGATGACAAAGGCCAATCTTCTGCGCTTGCCATTGCAAAGGCAGTTCCCAAAGCGAAAGCAAAGAGTCTACCAAGAGCATCTACGCCTTCGCGTCCAACATCCACAGGTTCGAGGACGAGCAAGGCTCCAGAACGACGATCCGAAGCGTCTGGTTTTCAGGCACCTCGGACCCCGTCGAGGGCAAAGGACAAGGGAGTGAAGACTTTGGAAAAGAAGCCGCGACCATCATCTTCAAGAAGCTCTTCAGCACGATCACCTAGACCACCGGCTTGCGAAAAATAACAGCCACCAAACCTATTGTCGTTCAAAACAAGCACACCCACACCAGAACAGCCTCACAGAACCAAAACAGCCATGCCTGAACTATCTCCAAGGCAAAACAGCCCCACCCAAACCAAACTAGCTTAAGGAGATTTCTGCGAATCCAAGTGGTTCCAGTTATCAACAGCCACTGGAAGTTGCAAGTATATGCTACATGTACCATACGACAAGTTTCTTTAACGTTTACAAATCCATTCCCAGGTCTGTACCATTGATACCGTACAAAGTCGAAAGCCACAAGATGTGAGCCTCGAACCAGACACTGAACTGATAATTGCGATTGGCTCTGAACCTTGTTCACTGATCTTTGAGATTTCGGGTCTATAGTGGGATAGGGTTTACAGAACACAGAGTCAAAGCCCACGGCCCATGCACCTCCAGTGCAGCTGCTCCGAAGACGAGCAGACATGCGGCAAAGCCGGCAAACCCAACTAACCCTCCAACCCGAAAAAGCTAGCTCCCGAGATGTAATACATCAAACCCAGTGTGTCTCCTATCCCCGTAACCGGACATTGGCTCAAGCTGTTCTTTCCACACGGTGCGTCCCGCCACGTCCTAAGCTTTCAACTTACGCAGCATTGCTTTCGATTTCACGAGATGCCGCTGAAGTGTTCTCAGTGCCAGTGTCCGTCCATGCGTGGCTCGCGCTGTTCTTGCAGTACGTCCAACGAAATCCTCCGACTGGCTACAGTCGTGGACCAGTGGATTGAGATAGCAGATGGCGCCCCTCTGCAATGCAATGTCTATTTCCACCGCAAAATGGTGGACAGAATGTAAAGTTGTTTTACATCTGAATGCGGCGAACTTCTCTTCGCAACATAGTTGTGCAACGTAGCTGTACCCTCGCACTACACGGAGGATGTTGTCTCGTACAATCTGCATGCAACGTCTTGGGATCCATAACCCGTGGTTGTAAAGCAGCCAAAACATCTTGGTAGAAGCTTCGCAAATCTGAGCTGCAGCTTTCAACATGTTGAGGCTGCGATGGCCTGCGAGCTTCTGGACTCCGAGACGACACTCAAGGCGCAGCCACTGCAGCAAAAGGATTGTGTCAGAGCCTTTGGAAGCAGTAAAAGAATAGGATTGGGAAGTTTTGTGGTGCATAAAGTCTTTCGTAAACTTGCGAAGATGCGGAGTGTGTTTCTCAGCGGATGCCCACATTGCAAACCGAGCATGCGCTCGACCAAGCCTCTGAAGCACCCCCTTCGAATCCCCAGGATAATCAAAAAGACCGAAGAATCTACACAGCAGCATGATTATTCCGCCACAGATGTCCCTGCCCAGTCCAATCTTAAATGTGTGCAGCAGATCTCTCTTGTATTTGAATGATGGGAAAGTGTTGTCGAAGGGAACTGTCTCGAATACACCGGGTGCATCCCATGGCTCACTGTCACCAATCGTTTGAACCCAGGCCGGATTGTGCCCCGTTTCCTCGAACGGGTAATCGTCGTTGCCAGCTAAGCAATCATGGCATATCTCATAATTTGCCACGTCACCTAAATGCAAATAGCTCCGGGTAAACATACCCACACGGGCATGCCACTTGGCATCCCCCTTCATGCCGACGAGCCCGACATAGTACTGCCGGCCATCAACAACAAGTCCAGTGTGAAATAAATTGTAAAGGTCATCAGCAATAGCCTTTTGGACGCCATCAAGTACCCAAGGGCCAAGATCCAAGGAGGCAGTCGGAATGACATAATTCAGATAACGTGCCAAAAAAGAGTGGCCGGAAGTGGCATGCCACTGGCACATAAGTTCTGATAGATCATGATCCGACAGTGACCAGTCCTGATCACTGGCAGCACGGGGCCATCGATCAGGCACCTGGCAGCAGTGGCCAGCAGGTGTTTCAGCAGCACAATGTTGGGCACAATCGCAAAATCTGGGCCGCTTGGTTTTTTTGCGGCTTTCAGTGGTTTCCATACCAAACACAGTCTCGAAACTGCCAATCGCTATCGGCTGCTTTTTTGAACCCGTCCCCTCGTCCCCATAGAGAAGAATAGGTAGCACAGCCCCCACCTCTTCGGGCGTGAACCGCCTGAATATTTCATGCGTGCTTTGGGATTGATAAAGAGCCTTCCAAAAGCTGCTGCATTTGTGGGGAGCCTCTTCCAACTTGCAGTTCCCAAACAGTGCCGATGGATGTGACCGCAAAAGCGCTCTGATCCAGTTTGACGGCTTCAAGATAGGAAACTTCAGAGTTTGGCTGCCATCCTTCAGAATGATGTAAGTGATGGGAACATTCAGTCGCAGTCCCCACTGTGCGAACAAATGATGAGCCGCTCTCTCGGCATTGTTGACATTAGCCTTCGCAGCATCTCCCACAGCTATGCCCTGCAGGCCATCCGACACAGCCGCTTCGCTGACTCTGGCCATTGCGGCTGCTGGGACCTCGGCACCATCAAGTTTGTGACTGGCGCATTGTCAAAGGCATAGAAAGAAGCACGACGACTAGAAAGCTCAGAAGCTAACTCCATCAGCAACCATCTCAGCGAGGGTTTCGAGAAGATGACCAGGTTTTGAATCAGCTTCATCGCCTGGCATAACAGTACAACCAAGGTTTTTTGTATATGCATATCTCAAACTGCTGACTGCAATCTCGTCTTTTAGATGCTGCGTGCGCTCGCTCATTCCTGAAGGCCCTAAGTGGCCAAAGCTACATACTGGATTGGGTGCGGAAGCCCAGCTTCTCTTTAGGATTGCATATTTGGGGCTTGCAACAGGGAAGATGTTCTTATACTAGTTCTACCACATTACCATAATATGGGAGTTCAGCTGCTTCGGAGGGCCATCGCACCAGGTGCACATGAAGATTTGCACGTGTCATGACACATGCATCGATATAAATACAAAATCTAGCCCTTCTTCCGCTTGGACTGCGGGGTTTCCAAAGCAGGATCCGGTTTCTTTGGCGCCTCCTTTACAAGCTTCACTTTCGGGGCCGCCTTACCCGAAGCCTTGGCCTTGGGAGTAAGCTTGGGCTTTGCATCGCTGGCACGGGGCAGCACTGTCCTGCCAGACAGCCAATTTAACCGATTCTTCGGAACACAGCGAACTGGACAAATGCGTAGCAGGTTGTGCACACTGTCCTTGCTCTGGGCTCCAGCATGAGAGCCTCCACAGCCCTTGGTTTCAGACCACACAAGATCGAGCATCCAGCCTCCTATTTAACTGCAGTCGTGGAGCTTCAGCTTGACACCGTGGATGCACTTGCGTAGCTCATCCTCATGCCTTTGCAATCACAAAGCAAAAAGTGAGAGAGGGGGGAGAGAGAGAGAGAGAGAGAGAGAGAGAGAGAGAGAGAGAGAGAGAGAGAGAAAGAAAGAAAGAGATAGAGAGAGCGACGGAGGGAAAGAGAGAGGGAGAGGGTCGAGATTACAGAAACACAGAACGAGATAGGGGTGACGGGCCAACAAAATACGAAGCCGCTATATGACAATCACAGAAACTTGGGCTATCCCTGCATGCTCTTTATATATGCAGAATCGAGACAACTAGCTGCACGAAGGCTAGACTGTCTTAGTATGTCGGTTAGGACAAGGTGTTGCATAGCATTGAGGGTTGAAGATTACACAGGTTGGAGGATCTATTGCAAACGGAGACACTCGGCAGTAAAACCATCGCACACCCCGGCTGTGTGAATCTCCTCGATTTTCTCCTGCATTGACTCCAGGTCGGCGATGACACTGCCAAGCTTGCTGAACATCCTTGGATGGACATGGCTGCGTTGGGCTGGCTGGAGCCTCTGAGTTCAACACAGATAACCCTAAATGTCCGAAACCCCTATAGCCCCATATAGAACATCTGAAGGCACTGAAGCCACAGATCCGATTAGTACGGGCACCGTTTCTTGCTAAGGTTCTCTGCATACAGTCTATAGATATAGGGTTGCACAGACATTTTACCAGGGCGTGGGTTTGCTATACGGATTAGGTTCAGGGTTTGATAAGGGAGCTTTGTACACATCATACGGCGTGCAAGTTTCTTGTTCTGGGAGCTGGTCAGGGTATTCTCTCCCTTGTCATTCGTGGACTTGCACTCATCCCTGATGTCTTGGAGCTTGTTGGTCCGCTTGGTAAGGCAAAGTAGAAGCTTCTGGCAATAAGAGCTGGGAAGGGCGTCGGGATCAATCTCTGGCACATTTGCCCGCTTCCTCAAGTCAAGGGCCTCCTTATTGGGTGTGCCAGCGGCCTCAGCGGGCTTGATTTCCTCCTGTCCTGAGTGACTGATGCACACTCCACGATGATCGCCAGAAACCTATACTGTAGAAGCTGAAAAACCAAAGCTTAGCCAACCCAACCCGAACCCCCCATTTCAAGCCACCTTCCCAAGGCGAGTTAATCGGGCCAATGCGTTCACCGGAGTCGCCCGCCACGCCTTCGGCCTGGAACCTAGACGTCGATCGCCGGATATGGCGCTCTCCCTGCCTTGGAGCGGATAGGGATCTGGAAAGGATTGTATCATATATGTCGGAAAGTGCAGCTAGATTACTTGTGCGTGGCTTTGATCGCCTTCTCACACCAGTAAAGGATCAGCCCCTCTTCGTAGGTGTCCCGCCTGTGAGACTAAGTTATTGTTCGAGCTCAGGTGTGGTTACTATGTCGAGGGTTTCCAGGGTCTACAGCACGGTGTACATTCACAAAGGCTTATATGGACGGCTGAGCTGGTTCAGATTTAGGTTTTGAGGCGATACTGTCGGCTACATGGTACACACAAGGGCTTATGGGCGGCTCAGTCTATTTATAAGGATTTCGGGATACTGTCGGGATTGAAATAGGTTCTGCCTCATGAAGCGACCTGGATTGCTCGCGCAATACTTCTTGACAGCCGCGATGCGGGTCCTCAGCTGAAGCGAGTTTGGATGAAATCTACATAACACAGTACGATCTATCATGGTAGGCTAACAAGGCTCTCGCTCCACCCCCACTCGCGCATCGTCGCTTCCGATGTGTACTCGCCCTCTATGGTTAATTCATCCTCCTCATAGGTCTCGTGAATCTCTTCAAGCTCCTGAATAAATGCTTCCTGCAGCGCACGGTCCGTGTGTAACATGTGTGTATATATTGTTTGTATTATACATGTGCGTGTGTCTTTGCGTATCGTATCGTAACACACATGAAACCATACCATGTACCATTTCATACCATACCGAGCCAAGGTCATGCGAAACCATATCGTAACATACCACACTATAGATACCATACTATGCCTTACCATCCCATGCCATACCATACAGTAACATATCATCACGTACCAAATCATACCGCATCATACCTTATCTTGCCATACCAAATCACATCACCTCATATAGCACCATGTCATACCATATACTCTCTCTCTATGTGTATATAGATGTGTACATCTGTATATATATATATATGTATACAACATGTGTATGTATGTATGTAATATGTATGTATGTATACATATGCATGTATGTATGATGGATTGGTGATATCTGTGTGTATGCATATGTGTATATGTATATGACACGTATGCATCACAGGTGACACAATGTTGATAACACCGCGAAAAGGACAAAACACTCTCTGGCTCTACACGAACTCTGTACATGATACAACATGCAGTCGCTGAAACTGTTGTTCTAGGGCTCCCCTGCTGTAAAGGTTTTATAAGGTGATTGTCAGTTTGGTTTGGCTTGCAGGGCTGGAGAAATAAGGATGATCGGTATATACACATGTCCAAACCACCCCGGTCCGGATTGTATCCGCAGCTCGCGAATATCTTTTGCAGGCTTTTGCGGGCATCTCCCCGCTTGCGCCATTGATCAACGAACTTCTGGGGAACTTTGACCGTTCCATCGACCCGGGCCGTAAAAACCCGCCTCATTCGGCGATCAATGGCACCGTCTGACAGGCTCATCTCCGAAGGCGGCGGAGATGGAGCCTGCTTGTCGCATAGATCCGGAATGTTTAGCATGGAAGCGGCATCCCCGTCATGGTCCTCACCTGTCAGAAGCTCTGGCAGCTCTGGCTCGGGCGCAACTGACGGCAACGGCTTGGAAACTGGCTCAGACGGCTCAGGTTTTCCTGCGGCGGGACTGGGTGGATTTTCAGAAGCGGAGACGGGATGCTCAGGTTTGAGCTCCGCATCAGCTGCATCATGGGGCTTTGCAACGGAAGCAGGATGCTTTGGAACTGGGTTGGCCAACTCACCGGGCAGGCTCTTGGAGGAGTCAGGCTTGGGCGCTGAGGATGGGGGATGCTGCTGCTGAGCTGGCTCAACAGTCTTCTCCGGCTGGGGAGCAGCAGAACCCTTGCCGTCTCCAGTTGCTGGCTTGCTTGCACTCTCCTTCCTAGGCTCCTCATGCCTCTCTAGCTGCCTATCCTGTCCAATTTCATCACTGAGGCCGGAAGAGGAAGCTCCACTGCGAAGAGGCACAGGAGAGGGAGCAGGGCTGTCACGAAGGGTGTCCGGAAGTTCAACCTGGGTGCTTCTGGTTTAAGGCCTCGCGTTGGGTGGTACATTCATTGTATTACATGCACATATACAAACATATATGTATATATATATACACACATGCACATACATATACAAATATACATGTACATACATATATATACATATATATATATACATACATATACATAAATATACATAAATATACATATATATATATATATACATATACATATACATATACATATACATATACATATATATATATATATATATAAATACATACATACATACATACATACATACATACATACATATACTTGCCTTTCCAGTACATTTCAGTACATTATACACGTTACATTACATTACATTACATAGATACACACATGTACTCCTACATTCATTTGTGCAGCATTCATTGACTACTTCATTTGCTCGTTGTGTTCATACTAGTTAGACAGATAGGTGTATTAGAGATATTTTAGCACATAGTTTGTGCACAAGTTAGCTAGTTCCGACTAGATAGAGAGGTCGACAAAGTCGGTAGATAGGCAGGTATAAAGTATATATATATATATATATAGAAAGAAAGATAAGAGAAGGCAGATAGGCGGGCATTGCATCATACACAAACAACAGCGGACATGTGGAAGGCACCCACGACATGCAGATGCAGATACTTGAGAGCCGACTAGGGCAGCGAGCCACGAGACCCGGCCATGCAATTACAACCCTCCCTAAATATTGTGTTCCTGTATATATATAATATGTACTGGTTCGGTATAAGTATATATAAGACTGTACACTGTAAACATATCCGGTTGCAGCCGATCTGCTGTGTCCTGTATCATCAGAAGCTTTGGAGGCTCACCGTCCCCAATTTCTGTAGGATCTGATCGGCCACAACCCTTGCCCTTCAATCTCTTGCGCTCTCGAATCTCTCGAAGCAGCTCCTCGGCCTCCTTTGCAAACCGGGTAACCATTCTATCATCCTAAGTATACTGAACACAAACAAAACCCTAGATCGAACCCATCCTCCAGCTGGCGTCGAACACCACGTGCATCGCCGTGCTCTGGGGCACCCATGGAGGCCACCATGTTCGAAACACAGCCTAAGCCTTCCTCTAAAGTAGAGGTTGACCACTGCCTACTTGGCACAGCACTCCTCATACGTGCTGATCGGTGTGTTGGGCCGCCACTTCAGGAATTTATGACAGCTTCTGATATGTCACTTCAAGCTTTTGGGTCGTGGAGGGTGAATACTTCAGGCTTTTTTTGGTTAGTTAGATTGGCAGAAATGGGCCTCCGCATAATTCCGCCTCATTCCGCTTAATTCCGCCCCATTTCCGGGCAATTCCGCCTCATACTTCAGGGTTATATTTGGTGACTTCAGGCTTTTGGGTGGTATTTGCCTCATACTTCAGGGATTTTTTTCCATGTGCAGCTCACTTCAGGCATTTTGGGTGTACTTCAGGCTTTCGGCTCGCACATGCGTTGCACTTCAAGGAATTCAGGCACACTTCAGGCTTTTTGGGTGTAATTCGGGTATCTTGCCATGAACATAACAGGTTTCTGTTTGCATTCAGGCTTTGTTTCTCCGATTGACATGATCGACGGACGATTTGGGTCTGTTCCGGGGTTTGCTTATGGCTTGGGATTTCGCAAAGGCACCTGGCCAAACAGGCGGGTGCTTAAGCAAAACCACTTAAGTGGTTTTGCTTAAGCACCCGCCTGTTTGGCCAATTAGCATCGAGGCGCCTCCCACTACCCCGACCCTTTCTTCGAGACCTGCTACTGGCGTGCTAGGATAACGGCTTTCTAGCGAACCTTGTGGGATTTGTTGAAGGCTCTGCCACGGTCTTTTGCTGGTATCGGACGTATGTATCTGTGTGAACGGGCACCCTTGCAAGCAATCCATCTACCTGTCGAATTAAGCAGACCTCCCGAATTACACCGTCGAGACCCAAAAATCTCAGAACAGCGATGGTACCTTCCCTCGCCACTCAGGAGGAATATGTAGAGCGGTACCCCCACGAAGATACTGAACCACTTCTGAAAGGCCCCCGGGGGAAGACTCATCTTCCCAGGCCAACCGACCACATAGCTCATGAAGCGGAGTGTCTGTATCCTGAGCAGTTGGGCTTCGGAGGACGTGGCCCGGCGTTGGGTGTTCTGAGGTTTTGGGTGGGCTTTTGGAGGCGTTCCTGGGTTCGGTGTCAGGCTCCATCGTGGCTTCCTTTAGCAAGCCCGTAGGTTTAGAGCATATATCAGCTAGATTTGGGTTTCACTTACTAAGCGGCTTACATGGTGGTATATACAAACCGAATGCGCTTCATGGACTGAGTCCTGAGATCTGCACGATCATGGGATAATTACATTGCAAGAATATAGATAAGATAATGCAGGATATCATCCATCAACAGCGTTTGTCTCAAGGGCCCTCCCTCCTCCCCAACCTCCCCCCTCCCCTCTCCCCCTCTCCTCCCTCCCTCTCCTTCCCTGTGCCCTGCGGAAAGCCTCCCTAAGCCAGCATCATGAGCATATATATAGGCCCCAGGACCCCCCAAACCCCATTTCCCAGCGCTTGCTCTCTCCAACCTTACTTCTGGGTCTACGTCTCAGAGGGTTTCTGTCCAGGCTAGGGGGTGCGTATTGGAACCAGGGCAGACGAAGTTCGGGTCGCAACGAAAAGCTCAAAGAGCCCCTCTGCAGCAGCAAAGTCCTGGGTAAAACCCGATAAAGTTAACCCCCCTAAGAAAATTTATAAACCCTAAACCCCTATGACCACTATATACCCTATGTCCACTGCAGGCCGTCTAGTATAGGAAGCAACACACCTATTATATATATATATATATATATATATTACACCCTTTATCAGATGCAGGGCTTTGGGTTTTGTAGTGTTTTTTGCTATCAGCAGTGCATGGAGAAATAAGAACATGCGTCCTAGCAACGACTGGTATGTTCACATCCTGCGCTTGTAGTCTGGGCAGCATATCGACGATGGCCCGGGCGAAGGAGGGAGTGTACTCCCTGGGCTTCAGAAAAACGACACTACACCACCGTTGGCGCTCATAAAACTAAATGATGCTACAGTACAGAACTTTTCTCACCACGGCACTGTGTTTGTTTCAGGAATGGAGTTGCTGTCCATGTGACAATGCCATTCTTAGGGGTCTTCTTGCTCGTCGGAAACTGACACTTGCGATCAGACTTTGGTACCTTTCCCTTGTCCAACTTTCGCACCGAAGACCTGTTGCTGATCACTGTAGTCCTCTTCATCGTTGGTGAGTTGTAGTGCTTCATCCAAAAGTTGGTCTTGTAGACCTGGCACAGGTTCGGGATAAGGGGGCTAGATAGGAGCACGACGACGTATGATTGTAGTGCGCTCCCATGCCAATGCGGGTGAGGAGCGGGGAGCCCGATCTTCCTCATACGGCGAACCCAGTCTAAGAAGAACTTCGTCTCGAAGAGGAGTGACGTCACTGGATTTTCCAAGAAGACTGTACCCCCAGCACATACAACCACACTCATCAAGTGTAGTGTCCTGCAGCAGATGATGGATAGCAGATGAAAAGACCTTGATACGACACTCTAACACGATTGTCTATATTTGTATCATAAAGGTCTCCTGCTCAGCAACTTGTTTGCTCGCCGAACAGTAGGTTCTGTCTCCAAGCCCTCTGGTGTAAGTACATTCCGACGAGAAGTACCCATATTGGTCAGAACGAAGCTGGAGCAGCATATTGCAAAGAAGCCGCACAGCTGCGACCAATTGCCTTGCAGGATCATCGTGAGAGCGAGCCTGAGATCAAGTGGCAGGAGACTGGGAGTTGATTTGAAATGTGTGGCCGCGGCTTTTGTATCTCTGTTTCAGACAAGACTCGCAAATCCTGAAGCAGAATTTACATCGAATGGGCTGCGTTTGTCGAGACGAGTCCTTCTTGTCTCAGCACGAACAAAGTCATACTCGATGTCCAAAGCCGCAGATCTAAACCCGGCAGCATTCGCCGAGGATGCGATATTGCCAGCACCAGCGAAGAATTCTAGCATGTCGTACGGAGTGTCCGGACACAAGTTTACGTAAGAGGTCCAGGACAGAAGAAGTACACAAAGGAATATCTCCTGCAGGAAGCGACATGCTACATCAGAGAGGCAATCCCACATCACTGCCATGCGAAACCCCACACCCCCAAACACTGGCCTTGGGAACCCGAAGAGCAACCAATCGTCTCAACAGGAGCTCCAGCTGCGGACCAGTGGTCATGGCTGCTTAGCAAGGCTGGCAACTGTGGGCGTAATGCAAACACTCGGATTCTGAAGAGTCATTGTGCACACTGTACTGTGTGATTACATAAGAGCAAAATCATCATCGGCTTCGCATGACTCACTGGTATATCGCTGCATATCCCAAGCAAGCTGAATGACAATCAGATGTGGTGTGACTTGATGCAGACACACAAACGCTAGCCTGCTCAGCATTGCTTGGCCATGATAAGAAAAGCGTGCCAGGGTGTCGCACGGCCAAACCACGCCTCACGAGAAAGGCCTGCCCACGAATCGAAGCGCCGTGCATGTTCTCGACGGGAACACCTGGGCGGACTGAAGCCCCAACCGGAAGATAAGGAAGGGGTTACAAGGAAATTGTGGTTTTGGGTTTAGGGGTTTAGGGTTTGGGGTGATAATACCATATGGTCATACAGTAGCATGCTGGCAAAGTTATTTTTATACAGTGGCGACGGCCATGGTAGCATGGATAAGTTGTGCGTGTATAGTATCAGTAGCAGTAGCAGTAGCAGTAGCAGTAGCAGTAGCAGTAGCAGTAGTAGTAGTAGTAGTAGTAGTAGTAGTAGTAGTAGTAGTAGTAGTACACTATAGTAGTATCATAGGAGTTGTATAGTAATGGTGGCAGTGGTAGTAGTAGAGGTAATGGTAATAAACGTGGTATAATAGTGGCATAGTGGTAGTGGCAGAGGTAGTGGTTGTGGTAGAGTACATAGAGGTACTACGATAGTCGTATATCTATATATATATATATATATATATATATATATATTACACGCAACCGCAGTCTTATAGTCGTAAGTTTAATAGCACACATATAAAAGAAGAAGGAGCTAATAGTATTATATATGTAGTATAGTAGCACCACTGTATACTGTACTATACAACTGTGCTTTAGTAAGGACAGCAATCATAGAAACGGCTGGCAGCCCATCCGTTCGAGTTTGATTCCAGCTGCGATCGGCACGTCTTTCCCATGTGAAACCCCTTCTGCAATCCTTGCATGCATGGGAAGCTGCCCACACAAAACATCTCCATGGTCGATGCGTGTTCTCACGCAACAGAAACATAATGGCTCATGCGATGCATGAGCCCAGAAACCCTGGCACAGCTAGGCCCTTCAAATGATCCTTCTTTACAAGGCGGGCAGATTTCGCACAAAACGCTTCGCAGCCTTCACGGCAGCAGCCACGTAGTCCTCGCTGGTCTTTAAGCGATCCGCCCGCGCCTTGAAGATGACTTGGCATTCCTTCCAAAACGGATCCTGCAGGGCACAGGGCTACCACATTCAGTCAATCACCTTGCTTTACCTACCGTGTGTTTATATGTGTGTTCAACCACAAACAGCATGGGCTTGGGCAGTCCTGGTACTTGGAGGGGAAGTTGACATAGAGACCGACGTGATCCAGAAATGCAGACTTAACGGCCTTCCATTTCATGTATGTCGACGCCTTTTTGGGAGGGGGCCTGCGAGCGAAGCATGTCTCCTTCGTCTCCTCGTCCTCATCCTCCTTTTCGGGCAAGTCCTCCTCCATACCAGATTTCTCATCCTTGTCCTTGACACATGCTGCCTTTGCTGCTGGGGCCTCGAGAGGCCCATCATTGTCAAAGCCTGCGCTCGAACTCTTTCGGAACACACGCATGCGTTTCAGGGGCTTGGAAGGCTGCGCATCGTCATCATGGTCTCCGTACCAAGCTCGGAGCTCATCCTCCGTCCAGCCTTTGAACCGGTAGTACTCGCGCTCGGTCTCCTCATCCCAGAAGTCCCAGAAGTTGTCCGGGGCACCCAACGAGGAGGCAGGCGATGCCTTCTGCTTCGTCACCTTGGTAGCCGGACGTCCACGGCCACGGCCACGTCCCCTGCCTCGTCCGCGAGCATCCTTGCATTTCTTCCGTTTCTTCTTCTCCTCGGGCACCGGGTCAGGGTCTGCTTCTTCGGGCAGGCGGGCAACCGCGGTCTGGTCGGTGCGCTTGATGTAGGCCTGCTGAAACATTGGGATTTTAAGCCATGTCTTAAAATCAACTTTTAGCCAACAACCTGGTTGTTCAATATGTCCAACTGCTCTTCTCCCTCCGGCTTGCATGCTGCACTGTCAGCACGAACCACTTCGGGGGCATGGGGCGGGGAAGTCTTGGGAGGCGTAGCTTGGGCATCCAAAGCCGCCGCAAGGTTCCTCGGAGTCGGCGTCCTTGTAATGCTGCTTGGAGAAGCGATCGGCTGGGTTTCTTCATTGTCGGGGCCGGGCGTTTTCGGCAACATCGACCTCATTCATCCGAGACTCACCATGTTTTGGGCTACATGTGATAGGTTTATATATGCCCCATCTACAGAATCAGGGTCTAGCTACTTCAGCATGGCAATCTTTTCCAGCATCGCTTGCTCTTTCAAGTCCAAGTCATCGCCGTCCACCTCTGAGGGATCCCAGAACTTGTGCTCCTTCGGTGTCGTGAGCTTCTTCTCCGAAGCCTCCTCCAGGTGACATCCACCTACATCACCGGCCTCTTCAGCCGGCTGGAGAACTTCATAGCCATCTCGCTGGAGATGCAAGCCACTCAAGTCCTCCCCATCCACTTCGGAATCAATCACGGCATCGATCTCTGCCAACTCTTCCGATTCTTCGGTTTCGGGATCGGCGCCTTTGCCACCCTTTTTTTTGTGCTTGTTCTTCAGGTGGCCCCAGTGCTGCACCAGGACATTGAAGAACTGATCGGTAACGGGGTCACGTCGCTTCCGCGCTGAGGAGCGACGGCGAATGGCCAGGGAAAAGAGTCTTCTTAACCCCCAACTATCCAAATAAACCAGGACCTCGTCCTCCTCGAAGCCCATGATCCGGCGAAACTCCAGGATCTGGGGTATGTACGGAGTATATGTGCAACAAGATGCAAAAAAGATTCGAAAACATGTTTTACACCGAGGGGCCTCGGCTCGAAGGAGTGGCACCGGCGGAGACTTGGGTTCCTTGAAGAGGGGGCACCAACGCTTTGCGAGGTGGTAGAGAGGATCGCAGCAAAGGTTAATGGCCTTCATGCTCGGGATGCCTTTCGATTTCGGGGCAGGCCACCGTGTCAACATCTTTGTCGCTCTCGCCCTGGCCCGAATCGCTTTATCCTCGTCCCAGACAGTAGCCAACTGGCCTACCACCCAAGCCACCTCCACCTCCTCAGGTTCTTCCGCTGAACCCTCATCGCCCTGAGCACTTTCATCCCCATCAGGAACAGCCGGAGGTTCCTCCGCCTCGGCACGCCTGCCACCGCCACGACCCATGATATGAAATGGCAGCAAGCCTAATGGATCAAAGAGCCCAAGCTTCAATGAAAATCGAAACTTCAAGTTGTCTAAGTCTGTCTTCAAATGCCAGCATTGATGCACACTCGTACACGTGTTGCATTAGGCCCGGCGCCAGACGGAAGTAAACATAGAGCACCCCGAAGATGAGCAGAGCTGTACCTGGCAGGAAAACATGTTTACGACCCTGGTATAGGCGTTATTATATAAGCTAATTTTCAATTCACTGCATTGGCTTTTCATCAGCATGTCCTCCTTGGGTCCATCTACGGCTTTCGGACTCCAGGTTCCCAGACGGCCCAACAAACTTAGCCACAAGCCTTGGAACAACTTAAGATTTTACACCGGGATGATAAATCATTGTTACAGCCCTGTGGTTTCCCTGGGTCCACCCCTTGGCCATGTGCTAACTGTACACACATGGCCCCCAGAAAGCCCTAACATAAGCTCCCAATCTACTAAATGGCTGGACTGCATCTCATCTCTGCTTGGAGCAGGTGATCTTTGAGCAGCCTGAGCGGAAGGTTCAAGCTGGGAGGGCATGGATCAGTGCAACTCATACTATGCCACCCGAGAACACTTGGCGAAATCAGCTTCTGTGCAGTTCGCGATCTTGTAGACAATGCCACGATGAGAAAAATTGTCCAAGACATCCAGCACTCGAGAGTCCCACGTCTTTGTGCAGGCTTCCTGAAGCAGAACCCTGAGACCACCCCCCCTGTAAAGGATAGCTAGCACAAGCACTTTCTGCACTCCCGAGAGCATCACATGATCATGTCCCAAAGCATGTAGCGCTCGAGACCAGAACTGGTCATCATATTGATCCAGCCCTGCGGGTAGCGTCTCACCGAACATGATGATTTAGCTTTGGTATGACGGCATGATTGTTCGACCCAGCCTTCATCTGCTACCCTGCACCAGGTGTCAGCAGAGACACTTCGAAAGACGGTCAGTTTCATGATGC